GGTTTGGGTTGGGAGGGACCCTAGAGCCCATCCCACCCCACCCCTGCCGTGGCAGGGACCCCGTCCATAGCCCAGGCCCCGTTCAGCCTGGCCTTGGCCCTGCTCTGAGCGGGGTGACACCTGTGTGGGTCCCTCGTGTGACCCGAGCCCCTGGGCACACCTGGCAGCAGCTCTGGGCATGCTGAGCCCAGCTCCCTGCCTGCCTGCTCGCGGGGCTCAGTGCATCCCTCGGGGTGTCCAGAGCTGCTGGGACCCCTGCCAGGGGCTCAGAGACCCTGGCACACAGCCCAGAGCACCTGGGGGTTTCATTGTGACCCCTGGAGCAGATCACCAGCTTTGTATGAAGACCTGAAAGCCACAGAAGCTTAAGTAGTGTAATAATAAAATTGTCACTGGGTGAAAAAGTCGATTTTGGGGTTTTTAGAATAAGAGTTTTGGGAACAAGATGGAGGGACTTGGGCGTGTCCAGCCTTTCTTCTTCTTCTTCTCTACCTCCATCTTCTGCAGTGATGGTGGCACTTTGGGATTGGTTTAGAGTAGAAACTCACTGTCTAACATAGGTGATAGGTATTGGAAAATTTATAATTATAAATATGTTATACATAGTTTGTAGTATAAAGAGATAACACCGCCCCGAGAGCAGGCAGAGTGCCTGGAGCTGTCCTGCTGGACAGGGCAGGAGAAAAATTTTTATAGATAAGAAGCAATAAACAACTCTGAGACAGAGGACTGAAGAGCTCTGACTCCTTCTTTGAACGTGCGGGCCAAAACAGAGACTGTTCACGAGTCTCAGGGCTGCAATAAACTGCAGCCTGCCGAGACCCTGCCACCCTCCTGCCAGCCCCTGCTGTGGGATGCACAAATCTGCGGTTCTGGGGACAGTGACTGTGAGCTGTGGCCAGGGCCAGCTGTCCCTGCCAGCCGTGTCCCAGGGGACAGACGTGCAGGACACGGGGAACGCTCCACAGAGCGGAGCCCCCACCCCAAAAGCCTTTCCCAGCAAGGCACTTAGAGCCCGCGGGGAAATTGCTACCCAGCAGTTCCTGTAACTCATTTCCAAGGCAGAAATTAGGCTTTGTTTGAAGTGCCCTGCTCGGCAGGGATGAGCCACGGGAGGGGATTGAACAAGGAGCCACTGTGGGGACAAAAACCTCCGGATCTGAGTCACAGGAGCCAGCGCTGCCGGCAGACACAGATAATCACATTTTCCCTCTATCATTTTATTTAACCGTTATTTAGCAGGCCCAGAAATGACAAATACATTTTAAATTATTAGTTTTACGCCAGGTTTTCTGGTTAAGATCCCTGTTAGGTTTCATCGCGGTGTCTCGCTCAGCTGTTGATGTGTCTGGATAACGCTGCCCTGGGAGCTGTGGGGGGCTGGCACCCCTGCCCTCCTCCTGCAGCCTCCCTCAGCTCCCCCTCCTGCCTGCCTCCCTCCTCCTGCTGCCCATCTTTGAGCCAAGGTGTTATTTTGTCATTTCCTCGCTGGTGTTCATTGCTGCCTGTGCTGGGCTGCCCAGCAGGAATCCCTCCCCTCACACCTGCCCCAGCTGTGGGATGTGAGGGAGGGCTGGAGCTGGGGCCTCACTCGTCCCACTCCTCCCTTCAGCCTCAGCTTCTTTTTCACCACCTTTCTGCTCCCTGGTGTTCATCTCTGCCCATTCAGGGCAGACCTGGGCAGCGAGAGCAGCAGGGTTGGGGTGTGGGATCTCACCTGCAGCTGCTCAGGCTTCCAGGGCTGATGGATTTCTGGCTCCTTAATTAGAGCTCCAGGAGCACAGCTGCATCCCACAGTTTGTCTTTAGAGTAAAAGCCATAAAGTAAGCTGACAATGATAAATCCAGGAGATGGTGGCTCCAACAATCTCTGCTTTGTGTTTCCGTGCCTGTACTAACCAGGGATTTCCTGGAGCAGGGAACATTGATTTCCATTCTTGTTCTGAACAAACAGGAGCTGAAATCCTCCTCAAAGGGAGATCTGAGAAAATTTCCTCCTCAGAAGTTTTCCAGTAGTTTCCAAGCCAGCAGCAGAGCCTGGAATTATTATTTGGAGCTGGGATGCAGCTGGCATCCCCATCCCAGCTGCCCGTGAAGCAGCAGTAAGCTGCAGGGTTTTATGCACCAGCTCATCCTGAAACACATTGTCAGGGGTGTTCTGCCTTTGTGTAAGAAACAGCCAGCCAAGCAAGACAAAAATATCCCCAGAACAGCAAGGAGAAGGTGAGCAGGCTCAGGGGGAAGCAGCAAGGTGGTGCCTCTCAGGAACAGGGGCTTGGGACCTGACTCAGGCCTTCACTCATCTCTTATTTGCTCTTCCAGTGGTCACATCTTTGACACAGCCTGGGGGAAGGAGTGGGAATGTTTCACGTGTCCCTGTTGATTTTATGGAGTCACAAAAACAATCTGCATTCCTTCTTACGCAGATTATGAAGGAGTCACGCAAATTGCTTATGCCTGCATTCTCCCCTTCAAATGTTAATGTTGCTGGGTGGAAGCTAATGGATTTATGGATTGGTTTGCTGTAATCATTGGATGAGGAGGCTGGAGGCAGGGGCTGAGTGTGCCAGTCTGAGAGGCTGATTGAGGGAGGATGGAGGAGGGAGCAGCAGCGCTGCTTTGGCCCCAGGTGAAGCTCCCCCTCCCAGTTTAGTTAAAACCAGGGGTTGTGCTGAGGGCTGTGTTTGCTGTCGCTGGCCAGGGCAGCTGTGCTCCCAGCAGATTCCCCTCCTGCAGAGTGGGACAGAGCCCTGCTGGGAGGGGGCACTGGCTGTCACTGCCCTGAGGCTCACAGAAAACATCCCAACCTGTCACTGACCCCCTCCCAAGGACTGGCAAAGGCAGGGCCTGCCCTGGATCTGGGGACAGGAGCCTTGCAGAGCTGGGTGTGGGGCACTGCCAGGGTAAAGCACACAAAGGAAATCCCTCAGGAGGGTCTGGGGTGATCCACACAGGATTTGGGCATGCAGAAGGCAGTGCAAAGGACAGGGATGCAGAGATAAGGCTGCACAAGGGCTTAGCAGTGCTCAGTCATTGAGTGTTTCAGATTTACAAAGCAATTTGGTGGGGTAACAAATCAGTTTACTGTAATTACAGCAATGCTCAGCTACAGAGCTGAGGTAGCTGCACCGATCCATAATCGACTCACACTCAGGTAAAACCTGGAGTGCACCTGTTTCCAGGTGTGGAAATAGCCTCTCCAAAACTCCCTGTGCTTCAGTGAGACATCCCCATCCCATCCCATCCCATCCCATCCCATCCCATCCCATCCCATCCCATCCCATCCCATCCCTCGGGGTTAGCACCTGGAGGAGGGTGGGGATGGGTGGGGGTCACTCAGCGCTGCTGCTCTGGGGCTGAAGGTGCTTCCTGTGGCCACCACCAAGCTCCATCCTGGCCACAGCCCAGCCAGCACCTCCTGGAGCTTTTCTGAGGGCTCCTGGCAGGGCCAGGCTCAGCTGGGGTGGTCCCAGGACCCTTCAGCACTCGGGTGGCTCAGCCAGGGCTCCTGAGGAGCCCCTGGAGCCGGGCTGGGGGAGCAGCACCACGATGTGAGGGGAGCAAAGCAAGGCAGGCAGAGCTCCATGTGCCCATAAACACCTTAGAGCAACATCTGGAGAGCTGCTCGGGAAAAAATAAACAGATTTTTATTTATAAGTTATGTGGTTTGGTTTTTACAGCGTTTTGATGATGCACATAAATTATTGTTTAAAGCCAGAGAACGTAAAAAGTTCCAGGAGGAGGCAGTTGTTGCCTTTGATAATCTCTTTCCTGAGGAATTTGCTGTGTTTTATTTTCAGCTGGCGGTTCCTTCTGCTGGCAACTGGAAAACCTGACAATTGCTTTTCATCTTTATTTGTGTCTGTAGTTCTAAGCTCAAAAAGTTTATTACTATTTACAGTGTTTACTATTTAAAAAGACAAAATGCACTTACTGAAACAACTCCACATGCGGTGGAATGATGGGAAAGTCACTTTTCTTTGATATTTGTGGTTGGCTCATCGTTTTGGAGGTTTACTCTGTTAGTTGGAGGTCTCAGGGGTTTGGGGGTGTGTGCAGCTGATGCAGGAGATCAGGGAGCTGCCAGACCCTCGCAGTGACGGCTCCCCCAGTGCTGGGGGCTCCTGGGCCTTTCCCAGTGCTCAGGATTTACACACTGGTAGCTAATTGAAGTGTGCTGCTGGCCGTGGGCTGTGCTGGGGGACTGAAAAGGGGCTTTTTGCAGGACTGGATTGCTGTGTCTCCATGTCTCAGCTGGGTTTCCACGCTGGGCACATGGAGCAGGATGTGCAGTGTGGGGTGTGCAGTGTGGGGTGTACAGTGTGGGATGAGTACCAGGCACACAGAGCAGGATGTGCAGAGTGGGATGTGCAGAGTGGGGTGTGCACCATGCACACACATCAGGGTGTGCAGTGTGGGATGTGCAGTGTGGGATGTGGAGAGTGGGATGTGTACCAAGCACACAGAGCTGAATGTGCAGTGAGGGATGTGCAGTGTGCACCATGCACACACATCAGGATGTGCAGTGTGGGATGTGCAGTGTGGGTTCCCACACCATGCACACACATCAGGGTGTGCAGTGTGGGATGTGCAGTGTGGGATGTGCACCATGCACACCCATCAGGATGTGCAGTGTGGGTTCCCACACCATGCACACCCATCAGGATGTGCAGTGTGGGTTCCCACACCATGCACACACACCAGGATGTGCAGTGTGGGTTCCCACACCATGCACACACATCAGGATGTGCAGTGTGGGATGTGCAGTGTGGGTTCCCACACCATGCACACACATCAGGATGTGCAGTGTGGGTTCCCACACCATGCACACCCATCAGGATGTGCAGTGGGGATGTTTTCCCTCTGCTGGAGCACACACAGTGCTGCCACGTGCCTCAAGCTGGAGCAAAGCCCCTGGAGGGGCCGAGAGGAGCAGCGGCATTGGGTGACCTGCCTGTCCAGATGCCAATGTCCATTTATTTCACAATTCTTATTTTTCAGTTGTCCCCACAATTCAGGAACTTAAATCCAGCGGTGTGATGCTTGGAGGGAACGGCCTGATCCGGTGCGAAGGTGCAGGAGTGCCTGCCCCGCTCTTTGAGTGGTACAAAGGAGAGAGGAAGTAAGTAGCCCCTGCTCGCCCACCCCTCGTGTGCCAGGGCTGCTGCCAGGCTGGGGCTGCCCCGGGGTGCCCGTTCCAGCAGCTCCCCAGCCCCAGCAGCAGCGCTTGGAGCTGCTGAGCTGCCCCGTGGCCGTGGCTCCCGTTGTGGCAGAGGGGAGATGGCACCAGCCTGACATCCAAAGGAGCTGCAGGAGCTCCAGCCTTTGGAGGGTGGCAGCCAGAAAAGCACTGGGAAAACCCCCAAAGAGGATTTCTGTTTGTCTTGCTCACCTTTGAGAGCAGGGCTTTGAGGCAGTGTGAGTGGTGCCCTGGCTGTGCTCCCTGGGCTGACATCTGCAGGTCGCTGCAGCCAAGGGGCTCAGGGGAGCTCTGGACCCTCAAACCTGGCCTGTGTTCTGGGTTTGTGTGGGCCCTTCTGGGTCAGCAACAGCATCTCTGCAGAGCCCTTTGTTCCCAAGGCAGCTCATTAAACAGGGAGGTGTTTTGCTTTCCAGCAGGACATTCTGCAGCTCTGGGCCTTTGAGGAGCTCGTTTCTCTCGGGCTCACACGCTGCTGCAGAAGCAGGTGGATATTGTCCCTTGTAGCTGGGAAGCTTCGGGAATTTCCCAGCCTCCAAGTGCTGGGTTTGTCAGCTCGAACATCCCATTAAACCTGGGAGCTGGCAGGAGAATATTAATGACCCTTTTCACAGAAAGCCATCTGTCAGCTCCTTCCTCAGCTGCTCCCCTCCTGCAGCACGAGCTGCTGTCCTCCTCCCTCTGCTGAGCCGTGCCACCCCACCGTATCCTGAAGCTTCTCTCCAGCTGATCTCCCTGTAAGGACAGGAGTGTTTCTCTGTGCTGGTGAGGTCCATCTGCACCCCATTCCCATGGCTGCTCGTGGCTGTGCTGCTGTGCCCATCCCGGGGCCACTGCAGCACAAACAGCCTTTCTGTGGGAGTATTTCAGAGCAGGTTTTGGCACTCCAGGTTCAATTAGCAGCCCCCAGCACGCTGATCACCTCTCTGTTTGTGGCTCTGCCCAAACTCCTCCCTGCTGAGCACGTCCAGTGCCGTGGCAGCAGCAGGAGAGGCCAAGCAGAGCATTTCAGGACAGCCAGGCTGTGCCTCTGCTCCTGTGCTGCTGGCAGTTTCACCTGAGCAGGAAAAGCTCTGTCCTGCTGCCTCTTGCTGCTCAAGTATTGGGCTCAATCTGTGCTCCATCCTTTCAGGAGCTGGGCTCTGGTGATCCTTGGGGGTCCCTTCCAGCTCAGGGCATCCTGTGAGCTCTTGCTGGTGACCTCTGAGCCCCAGCCCTTGCAGGAAAGGGGGAAATACCCAGAGGTGGGGGGTTTTTTGCTGGTTTTGGATCCAATGTGTCCCCTCTGCCTCTGGATGATGGGCAGCCAGCCCAGGGTGAGCACTGGCCAGCTCAGGATGGGCCTTGGCTTGCTCAGCATGAGCCCTGGCCAGCTCAGGCACTGCTTTGGTGCAGAGCTGAGGAGGCTCAGCTCTCAGAGGGAGCATCTCCATTACCCTGCAAGTAATTTGCAGCTGTGCTCCATGGCTGAATTTACTCCCCAGGAGTGCACACCCTGCTGGATTCTCAGCCAACACAATAGAGAGGGTCCCATTTTTGTCAGATACTCTTGGGCTGGGACTCCTCTTTCTTAGAAATCTGGATGGATTGTTCAATAAATTAGCAGTGGGAGTTAGCCCTGCAATCATAAGTGTGTGTGCAGTGTCTGAAACAAGGCTTTTGGGGGTGGAAATTGCATTGTTGTTACTGAGATTGATGTGAATCCAAAAGCACCATTCCCAGACTCCAGGGATCACCTCATCATAAAATACCCATTAAAGCTAAACACAGAGGCAGTAACAGCCTGCACTGAGTTAAAGTTATTGCTCTTTGAGGCAGGGAGGGCTGATTCTGCTAATCACTGACTTGCCAGGAGCTCTGTTCAGGAAATTCCCACAGGTGCTGCTGCACAGGGTGGGGAGAGCTGGGGAAAATTTGGGGGAGAAGTTAACAAATCATCACCAAATTGTCCTAGAAGCATCACATGGTTGGGGTGGAAGGGATCCTGAAGTCGGCCCCATTCCAGCCCCCTGCCATGGGCAGGGGCAGCTTCCCCTATGCCAGGGTGCTCCAAGGTGGATCCAGGGCCCTTCCAGGGATGGGGTGTCAGCAGTGTGGGAGGCTTTGGAGATTGCTGGGGATTCCCTGTGCAGAGCACCACGGCTCCACTGTGCCAGCTCTGAGCCCAGTCTGCTCCCAGGCTGCGTTCTGGGCTTGCAGAAATTAGAGCTCAGGCAGCAAACAGCCACAGGGAAGAAGCCCAGAAGTCACCTAAATGAAATATTAAAGTATTAATTCCCTTTTCCTTCTCAAAGCAAACAAGACTTACATTTGGAATGACAAAGCTCATTATCACGGCTCCATCCATTATAGCACGGTGCAGGTATCCTGGGATGGGAGCAGAGGCAGGGCCTGGGGCTGGCACTGGGGGAGCTGGGGATGCCAGGGAGCAATCCTGGGATGAGGAGGGGCTGGCTCTGCCCTGGCTACACAGAGCAATGGGGAACGAGCATGCAGGGGGCTGCACACCCCAGAGAGCTACTGTGCACACCCCAGAGAGCTGTTATACACCCAGAGAGCTGCTGTGCACACCCAGAGAGCTGCTGTGCACACCCCAGAGAGCTGCTGTGCACAACCAGAGTGGTGTTGTGCACCCCCAGAACACTGCTGTACACCCCCAGAGTGCTGTTGTACACCCCAGAACACTGTTGTACACACCCCAGAACACTGTTGTACACACCCCAGAACACTGTTGTACACACCCCAGGACACTGTTGTGCACCCCCAGAACACTGTTGTACACCCCAGAACACTGTTGTACATCTCCAGGACAGTACACTGTTGTACATCTCTGGGTGTTGTACACCCCAGGACACTGTTTTACACACCCCAGGACACTGTTGTACACCCCTCAGGATGCTGTTGCAGCCTGGCAGTCACTGGGTGAGGCCCAGCAATACATTATCATATAATAAATGCCTATATAATAAATAATTATACAATAAATGACCAATGTGAGCTCAGCGCTGTGCGTGGCCAAGGCGCACACGGAGCACAAGTTCCCCAGGAGCAGCTCCTGCTCCTCCAGCTGCACACAGACACCCTGGGCAGCTGTGGCCAGCCCCTGCTCTGGGCATCGTGGGCTCATCCCTCTGCATCCCTGTGCAGCCCCGGGCACCCCAGGGCCCCAGCCCCGAGCCCCAGCGCCAGCCCCGTCCCTGCAGGGCAGCAGGGAAGGGATGTGGGGACAGTGACAGGGGAAGGGCCCCGGGCTGGCACCCCTGGGCCACAGCAGGGCACATCAGGGAAGGGATGTGGGGACAGTGACAGGGGAAGGGCCCTGGGCTGGCACCCCTGGGGCACAGCAGGGCACAGCAGGGAAGGGATGTGGGGACAGTGACAGGGGAAGGGCCCCGGGCTGGCACCCCTGGGCCACAGCAGGCAGGCACTCCCACTTGTTGTGGGGCAGATGTCACCCGGGACAGGGCACAGGGACAGCACAGACCCCAACACTCCACGGTTCCTGGGAAAAGAGGAGGTGACCCTTACAGCTGAAATGGAGATGGTGCAGCTCCAACTCGGGCCACAAGTGTGGAGCTGGCTTGGAAACAGCTGGGGCAGAGCACAGGATCCCAGACTGGCTTGGGTTGGAGAGGACCTTAAACCCAGCCAGTGCCACCCCAGCCATGGCAGGGACACCTCCTCTGTCCCAGGTGCTCCAGCCCCAGTGCCCAGCCTGGCCTGGGACCCAGGGGCAGCCCCAGCCTCTCTGGGCACCCTGTGCATGGGAACAGCCAGCAAGGATGGCTGGGAGTGAAGAACTCTTCTGGAATTTTCTGCAGGAGAGGCAGGAAGCAGAGGGACAGCCATGGGTGGGTTTAGGGGAGAACATCCACCTGCAAAGGCTGAAGGGGCAAATTCCCACCTGGCACAGAAGTTTTCTCTTTCTGGACAAAAGATGAATCTTCCAAGGGCAGTGTTCACCCCAAAGCAGGCACTGCAATCTCATTTTTCTATGTTTTCATGCCCATGGGATGTGGCACATCCTCTGCCCAGCCCTGGGCTGGAGGAGCAGGGTCCTTCACAGCAACACAGCCTGCCCAGGGAGGAAAAATCCCCGTGTGAGCAGCACCTGCAGGGCCCTGATGGGAAGAGAGGCACCCCCATAGCAATGAGCAATGCTCAGTCCACAACCTGCACAAGTGCAATTAATGACAGATTTGCCAAGGTTTTCAGACAGAACGGGGGAAGATGGCCCTAATTCCCAGGATATATGATTATATCCTTCCATATAGCAGACAAAAATTGCATTCTTAATCCAAAGCTCTGCTCCTTATGGGAAATAGAAGGAATTATGAGTAATAACTGTGGCGAGTTTTTAATAACACGGTTCCCCTTCTCGTCTCCTTGTTTGATCAGACGTGGTTTGCCTAGGACAGCACCGTTAAATTGGTTCTCCTGCTTTGTCCTGGTGCCCAGCAATGCTCCCGGCATGGCTTTGGGAGCAGTATCCACACACCTGCATTTTTCCTGTGAATTTGGGGTGGGAAGCTCAAAGCTGGGTGAGAGGAGTCCTGATTTGGCTTTTCTCTCTGCTTCATTACCTGATCCTGCCCAGGCTGCTGCCTCAGCAGCGCTGCTGGAGCGTTTTGTCCTTAATTGCAAGGCTCATTTGCAGCTGTAGAGCCCCATAAACAAAACCACTGTGACAACCCTGGCTCCTAATCCTCACCTGCCACCAGCCAGAGCTGGGAAAGCACACAGCAAACTCCAGAGCCTGAAAAGACCCTCTTGGAATGACAAAGACCCTCTTAGAAAGGCTTACCAGGACCCCTTTCTGCCCCAGGGAGAGCATTGCAATTCCCAGTTGGCTTTGCCCGGTTTGAAATCCAAGCTCTGCATCCCGGAGTTTCTGTCCCTGCTCCTGCAGGCAGGAAGGGCTGTGGGGGTTTCTTTTCTCTCAGCTGCAGGACATTGAGGCAGCACCGTTCCCCCCAGCGCCCCCAGCCCCAGGGCTCCCCAGAGTGCCAGGAATTGTGCTCAGCACAGGCACTGGCAGCTCGCAGAGAGCTCACCGTGCTCCCGGGGCTTTCTGTAAAACCAGGAAAGAAAAGAGAGCTGGGGAAAAAAAATAAATAAATAAAATCTTGGTTGTGGTATATGAGTTATAGACATTTTCTTTTTGCTTTCTAGACTGATCAATGGTCAACAAGGAATCACTATTAAAAATTATAGTACAAGATCCCTTCTTACTGTTACCAATGTGACAGAAGAGCACTTTGGCAACTATACTTGTGTCGCTGCCAACAAGCTAGGGACGACCAATGCCAGCCTGCCTCTCAACCGTAAGTAACGGGGACGTGGGGCCAGTGCTCTGGTTGCTTCCTCCCAGCCCCGAGGGTCCCAGAGCCAGGAGGAGCAGTGTGTTTGTTCCCCTGAACACCTGGAAACGCCCCTGTGCCCGTCGGGGCTCGGCGTTCCGCGCCTGGCCTGGCTGTTCCGTGCTGGGGAAGGGTTTGGGCTCTGAGCTCGGGCTCTGTGCTGCGTTCTGGGGCATCAGGGCTGTGCCAGCAATCCCAGATAACTCCCCCTGCCATGGTGGTGCAGAGGCACAATGGGCACAGGCACAGCTTCCTGTGACTCTGTGACTCTGTGACTCTGGGATTCTGGGACTCTGTGATTCTGTGACTCTGTGATTCTGGGATTCTGGGATTCTGTGATTCTCTGATTCTGTGATTCTGCGATTCTGGGATTCTGGGATTCTGTGATTCTGGGATTCTGGGATTCTGAGATGCTGTGATTCTGTGATTCTCTGATTCTCTGATTCTCTGATTCTGCAATTCTGCGATTCTCTGATTCTCTGATTCTGCGATTCTGGGATTCTGGGATTCTGTGATTCTGCGATTCTGTGATTCTGTGATTCTCTGATTCTGCGATTCTCTGATTCTCTGATTCTGTGACTCTGTGATTCTCTGATTCTGTGACTCTGGGATTCTGGGATTCTGTGGTTCTGTGACTCTGGGATTCTGGGATTCTGTGGTTCTGGGATTCTGCAATTCTCTGATTCTGCGATTCTGTGACTCTGTGATTCTGCAATTCTCTGATTCTCTGATTTTGCGATTCTGCAATTCTGCAATTCTGTGATTCCGTGATTCTGGTTCCTGCTCCCAGCAGCAGCCCCAGGTCCCTGCGGGGGCACTGCCAGCAGGGGCAGAGGTTTCCCAGCGCGTTCCCAGGAGCAGCCTGGGCTGCAGAGCTGGGATGTGCCAGGGCTCTGTCCCGCCTGGCTCTGGCAGCAGCTGGTGCAGAGCAGCGCAGTCTCTGGGGAAGGCAGTGTGAGAGGTGAGGGGCTGGATGCTCAGTGTGGGGGTTGCCCAGAGGGGCCCCCAGGTGCTGTTGGGGAGGGATTTTTAGCAGTGCCTTGGTATCATTTCATTCTGCTGGTTGTTCAGCCACCTGCTGCTATCCAAAGGTGTTCGTGGTGCAGCTCTGGTGCTGCTCTGTTGTCCTGATGGTGAAAAAAGAGAGACAAAACTCTGGGTGTATCCTACTGGTAAAGATATTCCTCACTGCGTGGAAATGCAGAGCTTCAGTTGCTCAAATCCCACAATTATTGCCTTCCTTCCGTGAAATTTCCTCATGAGCCTACTCCCCATATGATGAGTGTTGTCAGAGGTTCTGAATTCCTGCAGGAGAGATGTAACAGGCACAAAATAACAGGGAGCCTTTGCTGCCATTTATTTAATATTTGAGGGATCATTACCAAAGCGGGAACGACATTACACTTATTTTAAACAGAAAATGCAAGTGAAAACAAAGGAATATTAAGCCAGAAGGAGCTGGAATTTGGTGTATTTGCAATTCAGAGCAGGTAGAAGGAAGGTCTGGCTTCATTTGAACAGAGCAGAGCTGAATCTGTCTCTGAGCTGCTGCCAGGATTTTTTCCATCTTAAATTGTAAGGTGCCTTGTAGCCACCCTTACAAAGCACTTTGAGAGGCAGAGGTTGAAAATGTCATAGAAGTATCGAGTGCATCGGTACAAATCATAAAAATAGATGTTCTCCATCATGAAAGAAAGGGGAGGTGGGAAGCACAATGGTCTGAGAGAAAATTCTGGAAATCTGGGTCTGCTTCTGACCTCGGGAGGGAAATAGGGGGATGTTGGCTCAGAGGTTTGACTCCAAGAGCAAGCTGAAATGTCTTATTTTATACTGTGATTGTTTTAATCCAGCTCTCCAAACAAGGAGAGCTGTCCTAAAGGTGGTGATCTGGATTTTGGTTGGGAATGAGGATCATTTGGTGAAGTTTTTCCTTGGCTTATAATTTACATTAGTATTATCCAGAAGCATTATCCCTTTAAAAAAACGACAAAAAAAAAAAAGCAGCAATAATTCTCAGGGTAGCAGCTCGCTGAGTGTGGGCTCCTCAATCCTTGAGCGAGAATGTTGTGCTGTGAAACTCCTGCATTTATTTCATTTTGCTGGCAGGGAGAGTGGCCATATGTGCTGGTTCAGGTGTGTGTGAGGGAGCTGCGAGCTCTGCCCGCCCGCTGCAGCGCCCAGGAACCAAATGTGGCCTCCAGGGCAGCTCCATTTGCTACTGGGCAGTGCTGGAATAGAGCTGCTGCCCTATTTCAGGGCCTGGGGCACTCTGGGGCCGCGCTGGGGTCGCACAGTCTGAGGTTCTTTACAAATCCTGGCACTCCACAGGAAGCATCCTTGTCCTTTCCTAACAGATCCTGCCAGAGAAATTGCTTTTTCCGTGGCTGGTTCTGTGGTCCAGAGGTGTCACTGGTGTCCAGGTTCACACAGAATCCTTGGATACACTGCCAAGAACTATGGAAAATGTAAATAATTGTGGGAAGCTGCCCAAGAGGTCAGTCGGGAGTGGCATTGGGAAGCAGAAGGAGCCTTGTGAGAGGGATGTGCTGGCATTTTCTGTGCTGGTTTCATCCCACGAGGACTTCACTGAGCCAGCACCTGCCTGTGCACTCCTGGTTGGTGGCACCCGTTGGGAATCTTGTCTCCACCCTGCGGAGGCGCCAGACCATGCCCTCAATTTCCATGTGCTGATTGCCCCGTGTGCTGGTTCCTGCAGGAGATCCCTGATCAAACTCCTGTATCCACGCTCCCGGTGGTGCCTGTGTCAGAGATGTAAATAACGGGAGTGTCCTCCCCCAGGTGTGAATGAGCTCGGTGTAAATCCCTCTCAGAGCTCCCCAGAGGCACCAGCAGCAGCCCTGGGGCTGGCTCAGGGTCTCTGCAAAGGGGAAGGGTCCTGCTGTGGCCCCTCTGCTGTCCCCACTGTCCCCACGGTCACTCCTGCAGGGCTGCTGGCTCTGCCACCAGAGCTCGGGGGCTCCAGAGATCTCCTCAGCCATGGAATGAGGTCTCAGAGGCCCTTTCCAGGCTGGATGGAGGGGCCTGGGGGCACAGCCCTGCTGCTGTCCCCTCTCCTGCAGCGTTGCTCACTGCCTGTGACCCAGAGAGAGCCTCCACGCTGTGGGCACCTCACAGCCCTGCCTCTTCCTCCCTCTGGCACCTGTCCCGGGGTTTTCCTGGGTGCTCCAGCCTGTGCAGCCCTGGGGGAAGAAGGGAGAGGGGCAGGGTTTGCCAGGAAGGAGGAGAGCTCTCGGGGTTCCTGTTAGAGAGCCTCTCTTTGCCACCCCAGAGCGAAGGAGGGGTCAGGATTCTGAGGAGCTGTGGCTTTCAAGGTTGTTTATTCTCTGTTATCTGGGACATTCTTTTCCTGACCTGCTGAGCTCTGTCTAGCAAGTTGGTCCATGGCACACTGACCGCCCTCGGGGTGGTGTTGGCTTTTTATACTGAAAACTAGCTGTACTTTATTTACAATAATTTCCCAGTACCTATCACCTATGTTAGACAGTCTGTCTCTAAACCAATCCAAAAATGCCACCATCACCTGTCACTGTAGGACAGAAAACAACAAAAGCACACACCGCGCTCTCAAGGTGAGGAAAAAGGGAAGTTTATTTCCTGACTCCAACATTTATAGATTTCCAAAGGTGGCAGTGGATTGGAGGGTGACAGTGCCACTTCTCCAATGACACTGGGCAAACCAACAGCCCATCAGATTTCTCCCCCTCCATGAAAGAGTGCAAAACAATGAGTTATTCACATAAAGGGTGTGAGAAAGTTTGCTACAAGAATATAAACATCAGAAGGCTTAGAAAAACTTAAAAACATCAGGGTGACAATCCTTCAGAGGATGGAGGCTAAGAGGAAGAAAGAAGAAGGACAAGGCACACCCAGATTCCTCCATCTTGGCTTCTGAACCCCCATTCTAAAAACCCAAAATTCTACTTTTCTATCTTGTGACAAACTAGCTCCCTTTCTACCCAAACCCTCATGGCTTGAAAATCTTCACATAAAGTTGGTGATTGTTTCCATGGGTTGAAATCAAAGGCACGGGTATCTTTGGCTTCGTGGCAAGGCCTCTGAGCATGCAGAGGGATGTGCTGGGTTCTGGCACAGAGCTGGGCTGTGGGCACAGGCAGGGGCAGGGCAGTGCCCTGAGGTGGCTCTGCCCACCCTGTCCCTGCTGGGCTCCTCTGCCAGCCCTGGCCCTGCATCCCCCATGGGATCTGTGCCCTGCATCCCGGGTTGTGACCGTGCTCACAGAGGTCCCAGGGTGAGGGAAGAGATGAGGATCTGACTCCATGGTTCAGAAGGCTGATTTATTATTTTATGATAGATATTACATTGAAACTATACTAAAAGAATAGAAGAAAAGGTTTCATCTCAGAAGGCCGGCTAAGCTAAGAATAAAATAGGAAAGAATGATAACAAAGGCTTGTGGCTCGGACACTGTGTCCAAGCCAGCTGGGCTGTGATTGGCCATTTATTACAACCAACCACATGAGCCCAATCCCAGACCCACCTGTTGCATTCCACAGCAGCAGATAACCATTGTTTGCATTTTGTTCCTGAGGCCTCTCAGCTTCTCAGGAAGAAAAAATCCTAAGGAAAGGATTTTCCATCAAAGATGTCTGCGACAGGCAGGCTCATCAGCAGTTTACCCAGACTTCATTAATTAACGTGCTGCCACTGCCCTATTCACAAAGTTCATCCTTAAACTCAGCAGTTCTCTTTTATTGACTGAGAAATCTCAGTGCCTTTGGGTCTGTGTCAGGTTCTGCTCAGTTTTAGCTCCACAGCTTTGCCTGGCCCACCAAATCTGACATTTCTGGAGAGAAATACACTCTCCAGGGAAATTCTCTTTGTGTCCACAGTTTCTACTGTTGTCCAATTACCTAAGAAAGATTTTGCAATTTTATCTCTCAAATACCGGCCTGGAAAGCAAATCAAATTTCAATTTGCATAGT